ATAGATAGATAGATAGATAGATAGATAGATAGATAGATAGATAGATACTTTATTGATTCCCAAGGGGAAATTCAAACGTTCGGCCTGGACAGATTAAACCAGAGGCACCTGGCCCTGGTTGCATCCTGTCCCAGCGTGTGTGTATGTGTGTGTGTGGGGGGGTGGTGGGGGTGAGGAGGGGTTAGGCCATCTGTATAGTCTCACCCCGCTGCCCCCCCCTTGTGCCGGCAGAACGAGGCGCTGGTGAACCGGGCCACGGGCCGCTGCCTGGAGGTGGTGCCGGCCAACGTGTACTTCGGCCACCTGCTGGTCCTGCAGCCCTGCTCGGGCCAGAGGTGGACCATCAGGAACGCCATGAGGCCGTAGCCGGGCCTCTGATTGGCCGAGGGACGAGGCGGAGTTCCCCCAATCTCGGCAGAGACTCGGAGCCACGAGGTGCCGGGAGGAGGCCGGGTCCGGAACGGGTTTCCGACTAAAGGCACATCCCCCAAAAAAAGTCTAATTTCGCATGAGGACCGCGGCTCTCTGGGGGTTTGCAAACTTTAGATGTGGTGTCGTCATAATTCCTGTGTGTGCTTCTTCTCTGCCGTGTTTTTTTTATTTTTATTTTCTAGGGTTAAGAAAAGAGAGATTCAGCCAACCAAAACTGACTTAGGGGGGGGTATTTCATCCTCAATGTCTCTGCTATACCTCATCTGTGTCATGTAACGTCTAAGGTGTGAATACAGTAAGATCTCACATCAGAGATATGGGCTGATGTGGAGTTAGAATCATAATTTCAGCATAAAAGGTTCATAAAAGGCATGAATCCAACACAAATGCCCACAGAAGGCTTTTCTTTTTTTTTTTTCCTGAGTCGTCAGAATGATAGATACTGTAAATAGTTATAGGTTGAAAAAGGCATGGACCATGAATATCGGTGTATTCAAATCTATTTTTTTGCAGTTTAAAAACAAAAAAAAAGAAGCCAGGAGGGTGTTTGTCTACAGGATGTCTGGGTTTTGTTCCTCTTGTAGCATGACTGTAAGCACATTGGGGACAGAGTTCGGTCCGGTTCGGTCAGTCCTTTTAGGCCGCCGGGCGCCATGACGACGGCGGCCCGCCAAAACCAATGAAGCACTTTTCAGGACAACAGACCCGATTTGGGAATTGGAAAAAACCGGCACGAGCGGCCGGACGGCTGCCATGGCGACGGGCCTCGGGGGCCGGAAGCATCGAAAAAAAACCGACGTGTGTATGATGTCATGTGTTTTGATTCAGTGTTACCGGTTGAGTTTTTTCTTGCTCCTGGGATTGTCTTCCAAATAAAACAACTTGTTTCCGGGTTGTGAATTGCAACCGGTTTGGATCAGTTTTGAAGCTTTTCTTGAAAGACCACTACTCTGTTACTTTTCTGACAGGTAAAGGACTACATTTCCAGCTCGTGGACTTAAAAATACTCATCCTGTGAGCTCTCACTATTTCCTCCGTCTAAAGCTGGAATAAATGCATGAGATGTAAATGCGCCGGGAGGAGCCTGGAGGGAACACAAGGCCCTGCTTCTTGCAGAGAGCTGCTCGGCTCAGTTTTTGCATGTTAACACCACCCAGTGAATGCTGATCAGAGACCCAGAGACGCCCCTGCTCATCGTCTGCCGGTTCAAATCCTGCCAAACGCTCCTCGACCGTTATTACAACAGTATTCAATTCAATTTTATTTCTATAGCGCCACATCACAACAGCAGGTATCTCCCGGCTTTCCAAACAGAGCAGCTCAGACCGGACTCTGAAGTTATTTACAGAAGAACTACAATTCCCACCAAGAACAAGCACTAGGCGACACAGGGAAGGAAAAACTGCGTTTAACAGGCAGAAACCTGGAGCAGAACCATGGCTCAGGGTGGGGGTGAGAGAGAGGACAGAGGGAGGCAGCCTACACTAACCCTGACCCTAACCCCGACCCTGACCTTAACCCTAACACTCCCTGACACCTGTGAAAAAAAGCCTACTTACCTGCATAAGACACCTAAGAGGTTTACTTACCTGTGTAGGACCTGGAAAAAAACTAAAAAAAAAATAAAAAATACTTACCTACGAAGCCAGAGGAAACAAAAAATGGAGGGAGGGTTTGAGGGAGGGTGGAAAAAACCTTGTTTCCTGACCCTAACCCTGACCCTCCAGCCTTCATAATTGTGAGGAATGACTATTTTTAGGTTAAACTTGTTTGGACTTATTGTACAAACCTATTTAACATCCACTATTTTAACATATTATGTTTAAAGTTTAATTCAGTGTTTGCAAGATTCATTTCACTATTTTTAAATGAATGTCTATATTGCCATGAAGCAATTAGGATTTTCTTGCCTGGGATATTCCTGTTGGTGATTAAATCAAAATGGTCGACTTGGATGTGGGTGGATTTGGATATCCATCCATGGCTTCCTTCAGCCTGAACCAGACATAGTTGGAAAATGGAGATGGAAAATGGAAAATGGCTTTGCTATACCTCAGTTTTTATGCAAAATGACCAGCGGCGTTTGTTTTTTTTAAAGCAAACTTTACTTTTTATGCCAATACTTTTGCATCAAATTGATCTAACCTGCTCCAAGAGGGTTGAAAGGTCAGAGGTCAGGGCCAGGTTCCAACTCAGGTGCTCAACGCTGCCCTCTGCTGTTCACAAATGGAGACGCAGGACACACAAACCCCCTTTCATAGCTGTTCATTTATCCAAAAATGAACATCTGTCACGTCGTTGACTCGTCTGCCAAGTCGTAAATTCATTCATCTTTTAAAAATCAATGAAATGGAAACTCACAGTTCATTAGAGTGATTAGAAATGACGTCTATCGTTCATAAACGGACGATTAGAGGCTGTAAAGCCACACGGGAGGAGGGCAGTTGTCATTTTAACTGTCGCAAACAAAAAGATACAAGCTGTGTTCAACATGTAGAATCTGGATTGGATCCAGATGAGTCAGGAAGCTGTTTGGATGGATGGGTTAATGTAGACATGAGCCGGAAAACTAACGGTCAGCACACTTTTTACCTCAGTTTGCACCAGATTTACCTCAGTTTGCACCAGATTTACCTCAGTTTGCACCAGATTTAGCTCAGTTTGCACCAGATTTAGCTCAGTTTGCACCAGATTTTCCTCAGTTTGCACTAGATTTTGCTTCCACTTCCCAGAGACGCTACATTACTACAACCCTCACAAGACCACCGGTTTATTGAGACGTCTTATGGACTCGAAAGCACAAAATTGATGGACTGGAAGAGGAGGAAGCAACAAACCCTCAGTCTGATATGGATCATGCAGGTAGAACAATGGACGGATGCTTTGTTGGAGCATTTTCTAATTGAATTGACTCCTTTAGATGCTGAAAAGACGCCCTGGGGTCTCATCTATAGCGTTTTTGGAAGAAATCATGCTCCTCTGGTGCATTTTAGGAACAACAGACTTGTCTGTGAACAATTTTCTGAGACAAAAGTAAGGACAAGTGAGAGAGGAGACAATTAAGCCAATAAGAACACACCTTGGGAGAAATCTAGTAAAGAGAAGAATTACAATTATTAAAATAAACTTAAGTTAAAAAGAGTGAAAGCCAAATTCAGCCCTCAAACGAACTGCCCTAAAATGTCAAAGTCCCACACAAAACCCTTTAAAAAACTTTTTTTTTATTGCAACAATTCTTAATCCTTTGATTTTTATACAGGTTTCCCGTATCTACAACAACATAATTATTATGTCTCAAATAAATAGCACAACTTAAAGTCATTCTCTATTCTGGGTTTAAATATTGCACGTGCAGCTATAGGATGTGCTCGTCTAATAATAGATATGCTGTCTCCTTAATTATGTACAAAGTTACATGAAAAACAAAGTGGGATCGAAGATCAAAAGAAAAAAATGTCCGGCAGAGTAAATAAAAATCTAAGTGCAGAGGACTAAAAATCCTTCTGAAAATGACGAATTCATGATGAAGTCTCCAGTTCAGTGGGACACACCCACCAAAACCCAACAACCAAAAAAAAACAGATCAAACCAGTGTGAGCTACTAAATACTGTCCCCACCATAAAACAACTATGTGAATGAAACCTTTTAAAAGGTTTAAAATGACTTTTTTCTGCCACAGGCAAGAAGTTTTTCCATTAAATACACCGTTTAAATACGTGTTGCTGCCCTACCCGCACTGTTAGCAGAGACAGACGTCATAGTATACTCTATTTTACACAATATTATTCTTTAAAACACTTAATATCAACATTTTCCAGACAGTGTGACTATAATTCGGCGTGAAAAATACACAAATCACTGATGATTCAACAGGATGGCTGTTGTGAGCTCCTTTTTTCCTCTAGATGGCGCTATTATACAAACCTACAACCCCTCGTTTCTCTTTTTTCGTGGGACCGGATGAAGGGCACAGTGCAAAAAAACAAAAAACAAACAAAACAGCGACGACAAACCAGATTCTGCATGACAAACACGTCTCTGCTCGAGAAAAAAAAAAGAAAAAAAAAAGACGAAAAAAGCCCGATTCTGGTTCTCCTCTGCAGAGTTTTATGGCTTTGGCGGGTTGAGAGGAACAGAAAAAGGGCCTCGGCCCCTTTAGCCCTGACCCCCCCCCCCGAGCAGAGACACACACACACACACACACACACACACACACACACACACACACATAGACACACACAGGTGAGACTGTATTTACAGAAGACGGAGACTCCATCACATGCACTGGACGATAGTGGGGGGGGGGGGGGGGGGGGGGGGGGGGGGTTGAGGGCGGGGTTTTTGCAGAGTTCCTCGTGCTGAAAACGATCCAAAGGCCCCCCCCAATATGAGCACAGATCGGGGTCAAACCCACTCTGAGGTCCAGGAAAAGGTCCCACTCTCTGACCACCAACCAGGTCACAGATAAAACAAAATAACAACTAAATAAAAGAGCAAATTGACTATTTTTTCTGTGCCGGTTCTTCTGCATCTTTTCCTTTTTCTCATCGGGGGGGGGGGGGCATCCAGTCACCCTCCTAACAGACTAACACCTGGAACACAGCTGGAGGGGGCTAAACACATTCCTGGACTTAACCTTTGACCCCTGAGCTGCCGGGACTCTCACCGATGAGAAAAAAAAGGCAGAAATTTACAATCCAACAACCGGTACTTTTTGATTTTGGAGCAAAATGGGCCTTAAAGGGGGGGG